TCAAGTACCATATTGGCATACTTTCGGTGAAACTTCCCAAAAATGGCCTTGGTCCGGTCGGACTGTTTGCAGTTCTAGGAAAATTGGCTCTTCGAGCCTCAAAATAATGGGTATTCACAGGCGGGACTGCTAGCGCTTCTTGCCGGCGGCTTGCAGCCGCTGTTCGGCCGACGGCTGCCGCCGCCGGCGATAGCTGCTCCGTCCGGCCTTAAGGGCGCCGCCACCGCCCGCGGCGGGAAAACTGCTTTGTTGAGGCCTCAAAAAGAATTGAGTATTTCACATCAATATAATTGTATTAGCTCCATAAGGTTTATAGTGAAAACCAAAAGTTGATAAGAAAAAACTGATTATGAACTGGAATGGAAATACTGTATTGACTGGGCTTGCTAGGGCCCATATGTAATCATATCCACTCACGGCCTTGTAGCCGGAAGTACCAATGTATGGGGGCGGCAGATTCTGCTATCCTATGTCGCGACTAGCCTTATTCTACGTGGTTTCTACCTAACCTAATGGAGCATATTGATTCGGTATGTCAATAGTACAAACAAAAGCATATTGAAATGTGTCCTAACATTCTAAACCATACTGTAACCTGTATGCTGATAGCCTCGCAAAGCGGGCAAACTTGTGTGATGTGTTAGTTTCAACATTCATTTTGCATTGATTGGCATGGTCATTTTAACATTTTGCTGCGTGTTGTCTTTTTGGTTTTAAAGTGATTGTAAGTAATAACAATTTGGAGAAAAGGAATACAATTGTTCATAGAAAAGAGGTCCAAAAGCATCAAAACACAAGTCGCGAGCTGTAGAGCGCGACATGGGAAAATTTCGCGGGAGGCGAGAAAGCACACAGAGAAGAGAGTTTAACAGACATAATTCATGAGCACGACATTTGAAATTCGCGAGCGCGAGAAGCACACAAGAGAGTCAGAGAGTTTCCGAGGCAAACTCGCGAGCCGAGTCATATTTTTCAGCTTTGCGCAATCTGTACTATTTTGGTCATATCTTCTCAATTTATAACTCCGATTTAGGTGATTCAAAAACTCATGGAAAAAATAACACATAGAGGAACAAATAACTCTTCTAGAAACACTTCCTAATTCCATCTGTTTAAACAGGGTTCAAAATCAGAATGAAGTTACTGGTCAGGTTTTCCAACAAATCGTTCAGCATGAAAAACCCTGTTTTCAATATCTACTTCATTTCTTCATTACATCCACGTTTTTCGTGCACCATTTCCCAAACCTCTTATCAACATGCACAACATATCTTCTCATTATCAACACCACTACACAAGTTCTCTGCAAGGAAATTTGTTAAACTAAAAGAGATTAACCTTCACTTCAAAAGCTTTGAATCTTCTTCTTAGCTTTCCTTTTTCTTCTAACTTTGAGCTCCACTCTCCTATACATCAGACTCTATGAAATAATTCTAAAATATCACAAATAGAGGTTGAATAATAGAACTTCAAGAAATTCTACTTACTGGGATAAAATAGAGGTGGAAATTTAATTGCTTGAATACCATTTTTAAAAATGATGAAGATCAAGATGAAGAAGGTTGAGAAGAAAGAAGGTGAGTAAGGAGATGAAGAAGATAAAGATGAAAATGGGGAAAGTGAAATGGAAGTTCTCGGGTAGGCTCCAAAATATCATTGATTGTGTATGTAAAATTACCCAAATGGTTACCTCAATTGTCAATAGGTTAACACTTAATTACCTAAAACTTGATCTTTTAGTGCAAAGTAAGTCCTAAATCCCATACTTTGATTCATTTTTGCTTCATTCTACAACTTAATACCTAAACTTGATCTTTTAGTGCAAGTAAGTCCTAATCCCTATACTTTGATCTTTTTGCTTCATTCAAGTAAGTCCACTTCTTTTCATTATTTCTGTTACATCCCATTCTACCCCATTCTGGACTCTAATGACTCGAACCGGGTTTTGGGTCAGCCCGACTCGACTCTATGCAACGACTCGATTCAGTAGGTTGTTACAGGTAACTTACTATTTCAGACACAGAAAAATGGGGCGTTACATTTACACCCCTAATTTGAACCAAAAGCTATTCGCTATTTATACTATTAAATACCATTTAGATTTATAAATTTATTTGAATTAAAAAAATAAAAGAAGGTAACCCGAGAAAATATAATATAACAAAATAAAAGTTAAAGTCATTAGCAATTGATTTTTCATATATTTTTGTTGAATAAATTAAATTACAATATAAAATTATGTACATTTGATATTTTCGTGCTTTTTCATTTTATTCTTTCCATTCCTACAATAAAACAAAAGCATAAAATATAATTTTTATTTCGTGTTTGCATATTAAACACTAAAATATAATTTTTATTAAGTGGTGGTGGTGGTGGTGGTGGCATGGTGATGGTGGTGGTAGAGTGGTTGAAGTTGTGGTGTTGGTGATGGTGATAGAGCTGTGGTGTTGATGGTGGTCGAGGCGGTGGTGAGGATGATGGGGTGGTGGTCGAGTGGTGGTAAATTTTATAAGTTGAATTGTTCAATGGATCAAAAGTAAAATTTGATGGTATCACAAAGTTACTCATTGAAAATAATAAAGTAAATTTATGCATTAGGCTATTTACAAAATTATTTATCATATTGTAATAATGCAAGATTTTATTAAAGTAGTTTTGTTTGTGTTATCGAATTTAAATAATTTTAAGTCTGGATTTAAATCATATGGAATCCAAACTCTTATATAAATATATATGGTTTTTAGTTTGATTTATAACCATAATTATTAAAAAATAATTGCTTTCATTCTGCTATAGTAAATTAAATAACAACAAAAAAAAATTAAATTTAAATAAAAAAATCAATATAACTAACCAAAATTAAATTACTTTTATTTTTTCAACTAATAAAATTAAAAATTTTAATGATATTGTTGCAATTCACAAACATGATAGGAGCATTTTTAGCAATCCTAATATTCTCAGTTTCACTTATATATATTATAACATGTATTCGTGTTGTTTATACTCGTTGTATATAACTCGTAATTTGATCTTTTTATATTTAATAAATTTTTATTAATTTTGAATTTGTAAGATTCCTAATTTCGGTTATTATATTGGGTATTGTGTATATATATTGTATATTAATAACATATTCTTCGTGTCATAAATAAAATATGCATTATACAAATTTTTGGAAGATATTTATAAAAGAAAATTGAAAGGCTAATAAAACTCTTGATTACGAAAATTGAAAGCCTAATAAAACTCTTCATGTCATAAAGAAAATGTTTAAGAGGAATCTTCCGCATGAAATAACATCAAACTCTTGTTTACGAAAGCAAATAAAACTTTTGATGGAATTTTCCTTAAAAAAAACTTTTAATGGAATTTTTTCTAAATAATATATAATATATATATAATATATATAATATATTATATCAAAAAGCGAAATAATGAATTTTTTATAATAGAATAAATAATATTATATAATTTTAATATTAGTGTTATCATAAAAAATTACTTAAAAATTAACTTATTTTTATAATATTATATAAATATTAGTTTGTGTATTACAATAATTTATAAATTAGTTTTAACTAATAAAAATTACTTAAAAATTTAAAATTATAAATAAAAATTATTTAAAATATTAATAAAAATTATAAAATTTACAGTATTTGATTTTTAAAAAATTATAGAATTAGGAAAAATATTTGACTATATTGAATACTTGGTTATAAAAATAATTAGAAAAATATTTGACTATATTGAAATACTTGGTTATAAAAATATTTATTATTTATTATTTTATTATTTTTTAATTATATTTAATTTAGATTAAAATTTTAATTAATTTTTTAATCATATTTGATTTATATCAAATAACTTATTTTTTGAGATAAAAATTGAGCGGTTTGTTCTTCGGTACAAATTTAAGTAGTAATTTATAGAAAAATTCAGAGGATAAATTGAGCCTTATTCCATAAAATTATATTCCTTAGAAGAATAAAATTCAAACTTAAACAGAAAATAATTAATTAAATTTAAATTAAAATTTCTTAGAAGAATAAAATTCAAACTTAAACAGAAAATCAATATAATTAATTAAATTTAAATTAAAATTTCTTATTTTTTAGCTAAAATAGAGATAAATTTTGTCATTATTAAATATTTTTTACTTTTTAATATTCTTTTATTTTATTTTTTAGCCAATATAGTTTAAATTTAAATAGAAAACTAATACAAGCAATCAATTAAATTCAAATGAAGATTCGAATTCGATCTCCCACCCCCAAGTAGCAAATATTTTGTTTAATTCATTGGAGGCATTTATATCAAAATAGCAATTGGAGTTACACAATAGGGATTAGTTCTCCCATTGGCTCATCAAATTAGTAAAAATATTGTGGTGTGTAAAAGACTCGAACTCGAGACCTTCCACTCGGATAAGTGAGAAGACTAACTAGACCACTATCCGATTGGCCCAAGAAGCAAACATTTTATAATTTATGAATAATTGAAAAAATATAAATTTTTTATTTTTACGTATCGGGGAAGTAGATTCAAACTGGATCTATTATCAGGTCGTATATGAATTTACTACTAGATTATTCCTTTGAGTGCATACCAAATTTTATTTATTATTAATATGTAAAAATAAAAAAAAATACATACATCTATTTTTTTTAAAGGTAAAAATTCAAACATCTGTAAATCATATAATCATGCATCAGAAAATCATCCAGCCGTCTTAAAATAAATAAATAAATAAACTCAGCTTGTGGATAATTAATAATTAACATATTTATTTTAAGCAATGAAGAGTAAGGCCCAATATTAATATTCTATTTAACCTATGCAGAATAAGGCCCAATATGAATGCGAAGAGTGAGGCCCATTAAATCCAAAAGAAACCCAACAGCAGCGCATATATTCCAAACCTGGCCCAAATAGACTCCAAACAAGCCAGTTAGGGTTTCATTTGACACCGCCTGTATATATACATCTCCTCGTTCTCTTTCAACTCTAGGGTTCAGATAGAGCGAGAGAGACCGCCACACACGAAGAAGGGACAAACGCCAGGAAAATGGTGAAGTTCTTGAAGCCAAATAAGGCGGTGATCGTCCTTCAAGGCCGCTACGCCGGTCGCAAGGCGGTAATCATCAAGTCCTTTGACGAAGGCACACGCGACCGCCCTTACGGTCATTGTTTGGTTGCAGGGATAAAAAAGTACCCGAGCAAGGTTATCAAGAAGGACTCAGCAAAGAAGACTGCCAAGAAATCCCGCGTCAAGTGCTTCATCAAGCTTGTCAACTACCAGCATTTGATGCCCACTCGCTACACTCTTGACGTCGACCTTAAGGACGTTGTCACCGTCGACTCTCTGCAGAGCAAGGAGAAGAAGGTGGCGGCTGCTAAGGAGACTAAGGCGAGGTTCGAGGAGCGGTTCAAGACTGGAAAGAATAGGTGGTTCTTTACCAAGCTCAGGTTTTGAGGATTCATTTCTTAAGAGTTTTGTTTGGTTTCTTTATCTTTTATAAGAAAGGAGTATGATCTTGTTATTGTAAGACTTGTTAAGTAGTAATCGTTAATTTTGGATTTTAAGATTTGTGTTTTGATGAACTTACTCAGATCTGATCGGATGAGTTGTTTCTAAGTTTATACAATGCATTTTGAATCTTTCCTTGTGCTGTTTTTTTTTTTTTTTTTTTTTTTTTTTTTTTTTTTTTTTTTTTTTTTTTTTTTTTTGTTTGGTTTGGTCTTGTGCTCTTTTACTGTAAGGCTTTTGGGCTTTATGTGTTATTCAGTCATGAATTAAATGTTTTTTTTTTTTTTTTTTTTTTTTTTTTTGTTTGGTTTGGTCTTGTGCTCTTTACTGTAGGCTTTGGGCTTTATGTGTTATTCATTAATTTGATTAAATGTGCTGTTTACTTGCAATTTGTTAATTTCTTAATCCATAATGTGTAATTGCCCTTTTCTATTTCCAGGTGGAATTGCTGTTGTTGGTTTCCTTGTTGCCAATTTCAAGTTTAGGTTCATATGAAATTAGTATGCACATAACCTGAATCTTTTGCGTCCTCAATTATTTTATTGCATGCTTTAGTATTTGCTCGCATCTTGGTTTATTATGGATTTGTTAAATTCTATGTTGATTATCAGTGTTGTGTCTTCGGGTTCATTTCTTGATTAAATGCTATATTTTGCTCATATTCGATTCCTCTACATGTTTGTGTTTATGTTTCCTTAAGGTCTTGGGTTGATTTTTGATATAATGATCCCTAAGCTGAGTTTACTTTAGGTATGGCTGAAATACTGCTTCTTTTAGAATGTCTTGAGTGTGGCAGATTTTTCTTTTGTATTTTCTTTTCACTTTTCTTGAATGTTTCTTGGGAGCGCGCATGGTAAGCTTGTATATATTGTGAGATCTCAATTAGAGGGAACTTGTTAATAAGATCTCAATTGAACAGAATGGACAGGTCTATCGTTGTCTTTCTTAACATTGTCGAATGATATTACAGTGTGTGGTAGTGGATGCCTTATGAATTGTCTGTTTTAAATTCTTTCATTGATATATATCATGCATTGTGTTCATTTGAGTTCACTTGAAAAACTTGCTAGTCGAATATTGGATATATCTTGAGTTGGACTAAAAGGAGAAATCATAAATGCAATCTGAAGCTACAGTGACCTCTATTTTATACCAGTTCAGGAGAAGCTGAATGTAGTTTTCTTGCCCTCTCTTAGTATTAGATGTCCAGATTTATTTTTCTTTTTGCTATTTGATTGCAATGATTTGTATAATACATGGGAAATATATTTCTTTGTTTGATGTCTTGTATATCTGAAATTGGTTTAGAATTGAACATGAATATCAATATGTGATGTGATCCCTAATGTTGTTGAATCATGAAGTATTTTTTGTTTGCATTGAAATTTTATTGTTGCTCGTCTTTTGTTTTGGTTTCAGCTGATTGTGTTCAATTTGATTACATGTGCATTATAGATTGCTTTTGTCCTAATGCACCGCGCAATGACATTAAAGTCTCAAGAATTCTGATTTGCTTTGTTGATGCTTTGTTTCAATTCATCAGGACTAGATCCACATATTCACCATGCCCAAGCCATAAATCTCCTTGCAAAGCTTTCCCTTTTGAATTATTAACCATCGCTTCTCTCTTCAAACTCTTGCACTTTAATTAATTTGGTACAATTCTACAAAATTGAAATACTTCTGTAGAAAAGATTTTTGAAAGAGTTCATTAGCATCCCTAAAATGACCATGTATTATTTTATGGGTAGTTTGTTATTTCCTCTTTATCCCCTTTCCCTAAACTGCCTTTTGTTTTACTATTTGCAGTTTTTCTATACATGTTTTATATAATTAGTAAATTAGCTGTGGGCTTTTGCCTAAGAAAACAATAATGCATTTATCAAGTCCCAAAGGCTTAAGAGAAAAATGAAATGGGTCAAAATCCACCCTGACGAAACATGGGACGATAACCATGTAAAGATTGAATTTCTTGTAGGGAGCCCAATCATTTAACTGAAGTCTAGATAAGAAAGACTGAAGTCTAGATAAGAAAGCCGTCGTTGATTTTAATTTTTAAGCCTGAATACTAATAGATTACTAATAAAACTCGTTTTGTAAACGTTTTTAATTTTGAAAAATCAAAAAGACCATTTTTCATATTGATATGGCATATTCACAATTTGCATAAGATAAATTACATCCATAACAAATAATTAAACATATAAAGGAGAGATGAGAAAATAATTACATTTTCAATAAAAATTACATGGAAATAAATAAACCTATAACTCATTAATTAAAATTCCTTTCAAGAAACCTACAACCAATTAATTACATTGCAGCATTGGAAGTTTATAAATGAATAGTAAAATAATAATTTAAACATACACTTTTAACATCCATCTAATTAAAAAAAAAAACCATACGACTAAATATATAAATTTACCTCTACATTTTAAACAAAAAAACCTTGTAGTTTCCTTTATTTTTAGAATAGCTTTGTGGGCACATTAAAGCACAAAATTACTAATATTACAATCTTGTTACAATCTGAAAAAGTGACCTCTCTTTACTTTTTTCATCAATACCTCAAGCTATAAATCAAATTTTGTAAGTGATTCAAGTTGGATTAAAAACTAGACATCTAGGAATTGGAGGTAACTCTATAAGTCAAGGGTAGAAACCCTTCATTTGAGTTCTTGAGAGCTCCTCGAGTTGAAAATTTTGAATCGATCTTAGCGTTTGAAATTGAAGTTTCGAGACGGAGAAATCATAGCATCGCCAATTTGACGAGTCACGCTTCATGAGGTAGGCTTCTTCCCTTTTCTTTTTAATGCTTAATTAGGTTAAATTTCAGTTAATTAGGTTAAATTTAATTAATGCCTAATAGCTTAGCCTTTCATTAAATTATGCCATGCTTAGATCTTAATTAATTCCTGCCATATTTAAGTTAGCTTTTAAAACACTAAATGCCTAAGATGGTCCGTAGCAAGCAAGGAAGATTGAAGCAGAGTTTACATCTATAATAACCAAATTAAATTTAGGAACTTAATCACATATATAGAATTACATTTTCAATCACTTATGATTAGGGCTAGAAGCTAAACTAGCTTTAGTACTTAAATCCTATATTTTAGGTCTCAATACACATCTTATGCTTTTATTGTGTTTGCTATTCTACCTCTTTCACATGTAGGCCCTCAAAGTAAGACTCTTGGCTTTTGATAAGACATGAATGTGTCTTGATGATGAAATACATGTTGTTGAGACTTACATATTTCTTTGCTCCTACCTATTTCTCGTCAAACTTTTGTTGACTAAAGTCAAATGATTTTTAACTTCAACTTGCGACTAAAATCAAAATACTTTTATTTTCAAAACATGGCAACTGAAGCCAAGAAACACTTTGAGTCAAGGCATGACAATTAGTATCAAAATCAAACCCCGTCTAATAGATGTGTGATTAGAGGACAAATCATATGAAAGCTGATGGACCTGTGACATCCTCACCCGACAAAGTTATTCAAAGAGGGCGGGTAAAGAAAAACTCCTAACAGGCTTCTAATATGACAAGGCTAACTAGAATAGTGGAATGCGAGACACATGAATAAATAGAATCATGCATTCAAACGAGGAAAATTAATGATCAGACGCCTTTTGACAGAATGACCCGGAAAATTGAAAGAATTCTAGAATTAAACATGCTCGTTTTAGGAAAATCTTACGATGGATGACCTTCAAATTAAAAATAATAAGGAAGTACTGCTTTTGCTTAATTGAGAAAAAGGAAGAAAAGTTGTCATCAAATTTGGAAATAAAATTAAAAAAAAAAAATTATAACAATCAACTAATGAAGTGAAAATATTTTTTTAAAAATGTCTCTCTCTTTACTTTGTTTTTCCTTCAATATAGTATTGAAATTCGTACTGCTTTATTCCATCTTCTCTCTCTTAATTGATTTTCTGAAATTCAACGTTCGAGGTACGATGGAAATCGTTGAAAAGTGAAAAGATTGAATAGGGAAGTGGGTGTTCTAAAATGCAAAATAGAGAATTCAACAGCATGTCCACATAACAAGAGATTTGAAACTACATCTTTTGCTACATGTGAAAAAATGGGTCGCACGTATGTAGTAATATTTCCGGTAAGCCAAATTAGACTGACGTACTAAAATACAAATGTTAAAAGTTTCGCACACTTAATTCATACATTCAGATACCAAAATAAAAAGTTCAGTCACTAAAGTTATAACTGTCCCAAATATTTTTTAGGATTTTTAGGTTTTTATATTGAAAATATTGATTGGATGTACAGTTACAATAACTTTTAGTTTTCATAATTGGTTTAACCATATAATAGTTATTTAATTGATATATTTTGCAAGTTAAAGTATTTAATGATCGTAATTTTATAAATTTTTATGGGTCAAAATAAAAGGTTAAGAGTATCATGAATTTAAAGTAATAAAGCTCGAGATTAAGTGAATTATTATATAGTCCAATTTATTATTCTATTTTTATTTTTTAGATACTTCAAAATTTCTCTTTATTTTTTACATTTTAATTTAGCACTTAAGTCATTTTTTTAACAAATATTAATATTGAATGATAATAATAGTAAAAAACACACTCGGTTGAGAAAATTACTTTTTTTATTCAATTTATATATAAATGGAAAAATTACTATTAGGTCTTATATTATGCTAAAATTATTATCTTCTAAAATTACTTTTTTAGAAATACACTACCTTACTCCTAATGTTTGCTTCCGTCAGCAAAAAAGTGTTTCATAACATGACTACCAAAATCTTAAGTGAAGGATTGCATTCTAGTTGCGGTTGATAGATATGGGAATTTTTTAAGCGTAAAAGCATCCTTAATACTAAAAAAAAAAAAAAAAAAAAAAAAAAAAAAAAAAAAAAAAAAAAAAAAAAAAAAAAAAAAAAAGCCATATTTCAAATCAACAAATTCAAAATAAAATAAAAATAAAAAAGAAAAAGAGTAATGGCCTATCTGACAACTAAGACATAAGGACATAGTGGAATACTCATTTTTTAAATGGTGAGTGGTTCCCTCAATAGAGCTCATAAGGAAAAACTTCTTCTCTTACCATAGTCGAACACAAGTGCCACAAGAGGATTCATGTTTCTAAAGTTATCTTTCACTTCCTCTTACAAATTCAAAAGTCAACCAGTAAAGCAATACATGAAACATTCTTCTTGTTCTATGGGATCAAAAAAAAAAAAAAAAAAAAAAAAAAAAAAAAAAAAAAAAAAAAAAAAGCCCATATTTCAAATCAACAAATTCAAAATAAAATAAAAATAAAAAAGAAAAAGAGTAATGCCTATCTGACAACTAGACATAAGGACATAGTGAATACTCATTTTTTTAATGGTGAGTGGTTCCTATAAGCTCATAAGGAAAATTCTCTCTTACCATAGTCAACACAAGTGCACAAGAGGATTCATGTTTCTAAATGTTATCTTTCACTTCTCTACAAATTCAAATCAACCAGTAAAGCAAACATTGAACATTCTTTTCTTGGATCATTGACATAGAAACATAACAAACTCATTCCTTTATTTTCCCGGGAAGAAAATCCGTAAAAAATCGTCAGTAACTTATCACAGGAGGTACATTATCATCCAATTTTCTTTTTCTAGGAACACATATGCAGTTGAATAACAGTTCCAATTAGAACTGTATGAGAATTAATGCAATGGCAAACTCTATCAATACATAGGAACCGACGGATCAGCCTTGACAGCATATGAATGTATTCCTCCAGCCAAATTAAATACTCTCTTGAAACCCTGAACAATCAGAACCCAATAGAGAAGGTAACAAATTAGTATCACAACCACCAAGCAACTATACTTGTAAATTCAAAGTACTATCAATAAAATAAATTAATAATTAAATAAACAAATAAAATCATTAAGATGCATGAGTATGAGCAAAGACAGTAGCATGATACTACTACCTTAAACATGGTGTATACATGAAAAGAGGAGAAAATATGGGAGAAAATAGAAACTCCTAATGAAATTTTGGCAAGAAACTTAGAACTGCTTCAATTTTCAGCTTGCAATATGTACCGAAACTGTGGTAGACGACCAACTAAGTGATAGCCATGCTTGCAAAATAAGGTTATAGATAATGTGGGCCATTTGTTGCTTGAATTCATTTCATGTATTAGGTAAAAGAATATTAGTAATTTATCTTTATTGGCTGAAATGAACAAAAATAGATGCATAATGGACTGTAACAGGAGCAAAATTTTGACAATTTTTTGTTTAAATCGTAATTGGCACATGTGAAGGCATAACCAGATCTAGAAGTTTGTTAGTAATGGTGGTAATTAAGCTTAGGTATGGCTTAGAGTATTGGGTAGTTGGTAGTTTAGTTGTTGGATAAGAAAGCTTCTCTCCCTATAAAAGGGAGGCTGCTGGAACAAGAAAATGTAGACAAAGAAGAGAGGCGGAGGATTCTTGTGAGAAAATCATCATTGAAAATGAAGAAGAAGAATAAGAGGAAAGATTCTGTTCTTTGAGCATTTTATTCTTGTTTTTCTTTTGTTTATCTCCTCTCCAACTCAGAGAACATGATTAGAAATCAATCACTAGCAACAGATGAAGATTGATAAGTGAAACAAAAAACAATTAGGGGAGAACAGGAAAAGCAAAACTATGAATAATCCCAAGCCCAAGGATACATCAACCCAAACATAGCAATATAATCACGCAGTAACATGAATTTCTGGTAATAATTAAATGTTGAACTAAACATCACATACCGATATAAATTGAGTAGAAAAATCATGCAATAACGGATATTTGCCCCCTTTAATGTCCAATATGCACTAAAACAAACTATTTTGGGGAAAAAAGAAAGGTTACAATGGAAAGGGCTTTACCTGTGTCTGTAACCACTTTGCAACCTGTAATGATCGCACCCCATGGTGACACTGGAAAAAAAAAAAAACAGTTCTATGAGGAATCTAGAAAAAGAAATTTAATTTTTTCAATTGTTCCAATGATTCTCTTTTTTAAAAAATAATCTTCAAGAATCTGTCGCAAAGAAAGCACCATGCAATTAAGATGGAAAAAACAATTATGGAATGAAAAATTAAAATCCAAAACACCTTTAGATGACTCCAAGGATCAATAGATCACCCACATGGAAAGTCAATCATCATAAGGATTTTATGGTCGAATCATATTTCAAATCTATTAAAGTTAGAAAAGCTTATTTGAAATTGTCTCAGACCAAAATTATCATTCCTTTTTTGTTTCTCTGTAAATTATACAAACAGGAAAAGCTTCAATATGAACTAGTTGAATCAGGTTACTTGTGACTTGTAAGTCAATAAACTGGCTCCTTGGCAATTGCCACTGATATCTGTAAAACATTTGCATCTTTACCAGCCAATATACTGAGACATGCACCATCCCTAGCTGAGTTAAGTCAATCTACATTTCAGCAGCAATGTCTGTTGGATTATATCTCATATCATAAAAAATCTGATTAACTTTTTCTAGCTGTAATGAAGCCACTTACAGGCATCGGCAACTAGATATACATAGGAATTTTGTTACCTCACTTTCCCAGTTGGTTGGTCTTCCTTCTCTTAGCACCTCCATGTTCCTTTCAAACTGGAAAACCGACTTACATTCTTCCAGGTTGTCTATTTATTCTGACTCGAGCTTTTGCATGCATGGTTAACATGAAACTTTCATTCTGTTAAATCTTAGGGGGTATCTATAATTTACAGTTCACCCCTGTACTGCATAAGTTTCAGTTGAAGGCAATCCAAAGGATAATGCTATTAGCAGTTTCAATAAACCTCCTAGCATCACCAATATAGTGCATAAGGCTTCCACTCATCAGCCGTACTTTTCTTCCCCAAATCAGTACTTGAGTTCACTAAACAACTTCATTTACAGTTTTACCCTGTATAAGTTTGAGTTGAAGAAAATCCAAAGGATAATGCTGATAGCAATTTCAATAAACTTTCTAGCATCAGCATAATAGTGCATAAACTCACCAGTCAACAACTCCTCATAACTAGGACCAGCAGTAATTGAGTTTTGTCCCCCTTCTCCAAAGGGGTAATTGAGTCCACTAAACAGCTCCATTAATTACTCTATCCGATAATGTAAGTTTTTCCAGGAACAGGCACACGATTATTGTCAAGCATCATCCAAAACTCAAGTCAGTTAATAAGAGCTTCAAAGTTTTATATAAATAAATACTGAGAAATTTCTAATCAAACAGCAGAAAGATCCATAAATAGATAGCTAGGCCATAAGAACAATAAGAATAAAGAAAATAGGAAACTGCAGCATGAATAACACAGAAGAGACCATCTTGGTGCAGACTACCAGTTATAGAAAATGCTAGATTTCAGAACATCCACTTAACAGCAGAAATTCTTAGAAATATAGGAAAATATAAATTGAGATATTTCAATTCAATAAGACCTTATTATCTTTTAGAATAAAAAAATAACAGCAAAAAAGAAAATCTTGTAAAACAGAAAAAAGGAGAATAAATCTACACACCATGACATAGGTATCTTTCTGAGGATCAAACTTGGCGGTTATTTCAGGCCCCCAGTTTCCAAATTGGCTGAGGGGAAGAACCTCAAAACCTGGCAGAGAAGCTCTTGCCCTATTACAGAATAAAGATCAGCACAGTCAGACAAAAAATGAACATCATTGACAAATAATGCAAGAAGAGTAAGAAAAAGAAAACTCATAGCAACAGCAAGTAGGCAACTATTTCCAGGAAGACTAAAAAGCACACGCCAAAAGAGGAAAAAGAGGGGACGAGTGAAGTTTCATGGACGGAGAGAGAGTGTTATTTCTGTCTCCCTTGATTAAACTTCATGTCAGCTAAAGCAATACTCCAATCTTGCCTTATGACCAACTGTAAGAAAAATCTAGTCAGTTCTTATTCATAGGTAATCTGTCAGTCAACCTCTCTATGATTTCTTTGGCATCAAGCTTCATGAGTGGACTAGATTAATAAGCATTGTTGTTATACCGAGAAACAGTACCAGTACAGTATCTAATCAACCATTTTAGTCAATGCATGAAAGAAGTCTTCATTGAGCAGACTCAAACCTCAGTCAATTAAGATGCACAAAGTATCCAAAGTAGTGCAGACACTTCTCTTAGTTATGCATGGTTATATATATAGGCAGACAATTCCTCTTAAGTTATGCAGTTATATATATATATAGTATATATATATATATTATATATTATATATATATATATAATATATTTCAATTCACAAATGCTTCAATTAATTCCTGAATACAAAATTTCCATCTAAAAGAATAAGAATAGATGTTATAATGAATTATTCCGCCCAACAACTTATATTTCAATTCACAAAATGCTTCAATTAATTCCTGAATACAAATTTCCATCTAAAGAATAAGAATAATGTTATAAGAATTATTCCGCCCAACAACTTAACTTTTGAATCTCTGAAGCACATCGCAGACTTTTTCAATACATATCATCAGATAATAATAATTAGAAAAAAATAAAAGAATAAAATGAGCATACACTTCATTAGGTTCTCGAACATCAATCAATTGACCCAGTTCAACAAACTTGGGATCTTGCATTTTAACATGAAACTCATCTGGTTGAATGTCTTGAAGTAAAGATCCTTCTCTGGTAGCACAAAATACAGATCCATAAGGAGAAAGAGAAAATAAGAGTTGGCACTGACATTTCTTTCTTAGAGCAATAATCAAGTGTAATCATGTTCTCACGCATACCTCTCAGAAAGAACTTGCAACAAATGCCACCCAAATTTAGTTTTACATCTTACAACTTTGTTCAAAGTGGCACTAAATGCAGCTTCCTCAAACTCTGGTACCTTGGAAAATTAAACATTCAGCATCAAGAAATTAGCAATAACAAGTTGAACTATATGCGAACAGCTCTACAAGAACAATGAAACAAATTTGTTTTCCAATGAAGACTGGATCAACTGAATTTTAATGTGATCAACGTACCATATCTCCTTTTCTGACCCACCCAAGCATTCCTCCCTCTGCTTTGGATGGGCATATTGAATATTCCAAAGCAAGGTCACTCAAATCCTCTCCTGCATGAAAGAAACACAAGATAACTTTGTTTTAGATAAAGGGTAATAAAAATTCAATCTTTCGCTCATATTTCTTGCCATAGTATCAATTGAAATAGAAAAACTTATTTCCATAAAAAGATCTTCTAAATAAATGAACAAATAAATCTTAACAAGAAAAATAGTATTAGTTCAATAAACATATGTTAGTCGGCCTAGTAGGGACATTAATCCACACCAAAAAGATAGAGGGATCCCACCTAAAAAAACCATATTAATCATCATCTAAAATAGTTACCTCCTGAAATTCTCTGTTGAAGCTCCAACAACAACTTCTGGTCATCTTCTTTAACAAGCAAATGCTGCACCAATATCTCTCTTGCATCTGCTGAGCCACTTCCAGAACTAAAAGAAGCTGAAAAAGCACACAAATTGAAAAAAAACATACAAAGAGTATAATCATGAACCGCAATAACAAAAATGAACAAGCAATACCCATGTATACCTTTGCGATATGTAGGGCCTAGCATGGGAAGGGACCGGTTAAAGAACCGAGAAGATGAATTGTGTATGAAGATTTTGGGGAGAAAGCTAATGAGTGGAGCAAAAGTAGAGAGTTTATGGAGGTGAGAAGGCGATGAAGAAAGAGAAGAGAGGGAAAGCGTGGGACTTACTGAGAGTTTAAGAGCGAAGAGGGCAGGTGAAGCTACTGATGGGAGATGATATGGTTTTAACATTGCTGCTTTTGATTTTCGGAATTCGAGAAGCGAAAGCTGTTAGAGACGTGAACTAGTCAAGCACACCGCCGTAAGAGCGTAGCTACTAGCTGGAGGTAGAGGCGCCCATGCCTTGGCTCGGGTTAAAGTGGTGAATCCTGGGGAGGGATCGGGTTCGGTGCGGGTCAGGATAGAGGTCGGGTTTAAATTACCAATTAAAATATATTTAATTTTTTTAGTAGGGATTCACTTATAATTTTTTTCCTATTTTAGCTTGTGAATGAAAAATATTATTAATTAAATGTTTAGATTTTTAATTTTTTTTAATTTAGTGACTTTGATAAAGTTGACACTGAAAAATACATGAAGACTAAGACTATGTGAGAAAATAACAACCAACGTTAGTCTATCTATGATACGATCGATGCTATAACATATTTTGTTTGGGCGGCGAAATTGCCGAGATTGTTAGTGCTAGAGCCAAGATTTTTATTTTGATAAATCTAACCTTCTTTACAATTGTCTCTGTATTCTATCTCATTTCCTCTGCAGCAATTCTCCTCTCTACATAACAACCGCCCAATGGCTGCATCCAATCCATTTTGTCAATTTTGTGATTGTGCATAACATCTTTCTTCCTAGGGTTGGTCTTAAACAAGAAGCTAAGGGCACCAAAATTGAAATTTATATTTGAAAAAATAAAATGGCTATTTTTCATTATTTCATAAGGTATTTATAAAAAAAATGTAAAAAATGGTCGGAAAAACCTTACAATCTAACGAAAGTAAATTATAAGGATGTTTTAGTATATTTTAAAAAAGACAGAATGAAATAATTGTATTTTGCAAACCACAGTGATCATAATGTATGTTTCCCTTTATATCTTTTCTATTAGTTGGAAGTGCATATTTTTAAGCGAAAATTATTATGTAGTCCTTGATATTTGATCAAATTAACTAAATCATCCTTGTATTTTTATAATATTCATTAGTAGTCCTTGAGATTTAATTTTGTTAGAATAGTTAGTCCTTGCATTCCAATTTTTTTGAGTTTTGTCCTTAAATATTACTAAAATGCAAAAAGATGAGAGATAAATATTTTATAAAGACAAATTTACCCTTAATAGGATATGACAAAAATGATATTTGTTAAAAAGACAAAATTATCCCTCGTAAAAAATTAACAATAGGATCGAAGGAGTCCTTAACTCCTAAATCTCCTCTCATGGATCAAAAGAGTAGCTCACTGCCATCATCAACAATCGGATCTGGGCCACCACAGGGCTCCAATCAAGAACATGCCCATCACCAGCACTCCAAGAGAGTCTTGTCGGTCCAAGCAAAGACATACAAAGACAGAAGCGAAGTCAAGGGCAATAACGGGGCAGCAGCGACGATGTTGCAAGAGCACCAATGGATCTCAGCACCTAAGGCAATAAGGGTTTAACTACTGCCTTGTGGTTGTGGTGTCTGTCAACTCAACCTAGATCAACTCTAATGCTCTTGACACTCTTTCTTCTCCCTTATTTCATCTTCTACAGGTGCTCTTCCTTCGTTCACTACTAATTTCTTGCTTCTGTGCAAAAAGATAGAAACTTTTTTTGACTTATGAAACCCTCTTTTAATTTTTAGGAAGAGGTGAGCTCCCATCACTCCCTCTTTCCTTTTAAGATTCTACCTTCTGGGTTTAACAGGGTAAGTGATTCAAATTTTGATTTTTCAATCTTCAATAGGTTCAAGTTTTATTAATAAAAGTATTTCTTGCAGGAGTACAGGACAAATAATTTACTTAGCAGGTGTTAAATTGAGTTCTCCAACTTTTTCTTCTGTTATGGCCAATCTTATACCCATTTTCAATTTCTTGCTTGCAATAATCACTGAAAGTATTTGAGTTCCAATTGATTTCTGAAGATACCCATATATACATTATATACAGGAGTGTCATATTATAACTATACTACTAATTATACATATCAGAAATAACAAATAACAAATTGACAGATTGTCATTATCTCTATCACACCCCCTCAGTCGAAGGGGCAGCAGAGCGAACACTTAGACTGTTTCTGAAATCATCAAACTGAGTTCTCCAACTTTCTCTCTTCTGTTATGGCCCAATCTATACGCCCATTTTCAATGTTCTCTTGCTTTGCAATAATCACTGAAAGTATTTGAGTGTGCCCCCAATTGATTTCTGAAATATCGACCATATATACAGTTATATAAAGGAGTGCATACTGTATAAACTCACGACTCTATATACGATACATAGTCAGGCGCGAGAGATAACAATAACAGAGAGAGCAGATTGTCTTCACTCGTCTAATCACACCCCGCCCTCAGTCCGAGAGGGGGCAAGCAGAAGCAGGCGAACACTTAGACTGTTTCTCGATCATGAGCGAACACTTAGACTGTTTCTGAAATCATCAAACAAAACGCGCGGAAGACCTTTTGTAAAGATGTCTGCAATTTGATAACGAGAAGGAACATGATGAACTCGAACCTCTCTTTTTTGAACTTTTTCACGCACAAAATGAATATCCATCTCTATATGTTTAGTGCGTTGATGCTCAACTGGATTCTCTGACAAATAGATCGCACTAACATTATCACAATATACCATTGTAGCTTTTGATATCGGAAAATGTAGTTCCAGCAAAAGATTCCTCAACCAACAAGATTCAGAAACAACATTAGTGACTCCTCTGTATTCAACTTCTGCGCTTGATTTTGAGATTATACGTTGCCGCTTTGAAGACCAAGAAATAAGATTATTCCCAAGAAATATACAGTAACCAGAAGTAGAGCGGCGGGTGTCAGGACAACCACCCCAATTGGCATCCGTGTAAGCCACCAGAGAATGTGCCGATGATTTATATAACTGTAAACCATAATGAATTATTCCTTTAATGTACTGCAGTATTCGCTTTAAAGCCTTCATGTGCTGTTCAGTTGGAGCATGCATAAAGAGACAGATTTGCTGGACTGCATAACAAATGTCAGGTCTAGTAAAAGTTAAATACTGTAATGCTCCAGCCACTTGCCTGTATAACTTAGGATTAGAACACGGTTCACCACTTTGAGCACTTAATTTGCCTGTTGTATCCACAGGTGTGAGACTCGATTTACACTCAGTCATGCCGGCACAATCTAACAGTTCAGCAGCATATTTTTATTGCGTCAAAAACATACCTGCGTTATTGCGTTGAACTTTAATGCCGAGAAAATAATTAAGTGGTCCTAAGTCCTTCATTGCAAACTCAGCGCTTAATTTAGTAATGATGTCCTTTCTTAAAGCAGCTGATGAAGTTACAAGAACTATATCATCAACGTACAGTAATATGTATGCCATTTTTGCATGGTTATGATAAATGAATAAAGAATGATCACATGTTCTATGAATAAAACCAATTGTTGCCGTAAAATCAGTAAACCTTTAGTACCAAGCACGAGGGGCTTGCTTCCAGCCATATAAAGACTTCTTTAACAGGCATACATGATCAAGCCGGGAGGAGTCTCGAAATCCCAAAGGCTGATACATATAACCTGTCTCATTGAGATTACCGTGCAAGAATGCATTCTTGACGTCAAGTTCATGAATGGACCAATTCTTCGAAACTACCAGGCTAAGCACCATTCTGATTGTCGCAGGTTTAACAACCGGACTAAAGGTATCCTCACAATCAATTCCTTCCCGTTGAGACCTGCCATCACCTACAAGACGGGCTTTATGCCTCTCAAATGAACCATCAGAATTCTTTTTATGACAAAAACCCACATTGATCTAATAATATTGACATTTGCTGTACGAGTAACTAAATCCCAAGTCGTATTCTTAATGAGAGCCTCAAATTCATCAAGCATAGAACTTTTCCAATTCGGGTCTTTTAGAGCTGACACAGGATTTGTTGGTATAGGGGAAATAGACGAAGAAGTAGCAACATAAGACTGATATTTTGGGTTAGGCTTAAATATTAGGGGGGGAAGATAGAAGCCGAAGAAGTAAGCAACATAGAGACCGATTATTTTTGGGTTTAGGCTTACAATATTCGCTGATCCGTTACTACGGTTGTCATATTAGATGAATAAGGTGCAAGGTGCGATTTAAAGCTGTTGGGCATATTATGAGAAGGTGCAGGTGGATTTAAAGCTTGGGAATTATTGACAGGTGCATGGTGTTGTGTCATATTATTGGAAGGTGCAGGGGAATGTTGTTGTGAAGTTGGTATAATGGGAGCAGGTGATGACAGACACATGTAAAGGCTCATCATTGGTAGTTGGAGAAATAGATGAATTATGTAGCCTGTGTATCTGTAGTGGTGTTAAACTACCATCCAGAAAATCATATTTAGAAGTGTTAGCAGCAGGTAATTTGGAAAAAGGATGCTGATTCTCATCAAATTTAACATGTCGACAAATGATGATTTTATTTGAAGACAAATCAAGATACTTATACCCTCTATGATTTGAAGGATATCCTAAAACTACACAAGGTTTAGATCTTGGCTCTAACTTATGAATGGTGGTAGACAGAATTAAAGGGAAACATAAACACCCAAATATTCGTAAATGAGAATACGACGGATATTTAAGGCAGAGCATTTGAGTGGGTGACCTGTAATTCAATAACGTAAATGAGAATACGACGGATATTTAAGGCAGAGCATTTGAGTGGGTGACCTGTAATTCAATAATTTGCTAGGAAGTATATTAAGAAGATAGGTGCAGTTGATAAAGCATGATGCCAAAAACGTGCAAGTATAGAAGCATGAAGCAAAACAGTTCGAACCATGTTATTGATGGTTTTAATTTTACGTTCAGCTTTACCATTTTGAGAAGAGGAATAGGGACAAGAAAATCGAAAAACTATGCCATTTTGTATACAATAATCATGAAATTTGACATTGTTATATTCGCCACCATTATCACATTGTAAATGCTTAATTGTCTTACCGAATTGGGTTTGAACATATTTAGAGAAAGAAATAAAGATACTAAGCACTTGAGATTTATGTGATATTGGAAATGTCCACAAGAATTTGGTAAAATCATCAAGAAACAAGACATAATATCGATGACCAGCTGAAATTGGAACAGGTGATGACCATAAATCGAACTTGGAACAGGTGATGACCATAAATCAGTATGAATAA